CTGTCTGAAGCAATAGATTGCCATCGGTTGATTCCAGATCTCTCTCAACAGAATCAACCATCCTGATATGTGTGTGTGTGGGGGGGGGAGCTTCCTTTTTTTGTGTACCTTCTGTTTTTGAAAAAAGTCACTAATTTAGTTGGATTTAATTCATCATTACATTTAAAAGGGTGTCCAAGCCGTCCAATGTTGCTAGCCTTTATAACTTTGGCAGCATCTGGTTTCTTGCAGCATATTGGCAGTTCAAGATTTCCCTTACATACTATTGATACCCGAGCTATCAATTATGAAATGAGAGCTATTGACAATCCTTCCTTCCTTCATATTCATTGGCATCAACGATGTTTGATACTGATCAGGATCACTATCATATTGTCGCATGAAACAAAAATAATGCATTCAAATCTTTATTAAGAAAGTTGCGTAAATATATTTGCAGGTTATCGTTCTTGTTAGTATTCAGTGATCTTCGTTTTTTTTTTAAGGTTACGGACATATCTCGTTTTTTTTTCCTTCCGACTATGACATCACATACTGAAAAAGGCTTTCGTATTTTAACTCAAAATACTCGACTTTTTGCAGTGTAGTAGCCCTTTTGTGGGGAAAAAAAGAGGAAAGGTAGTATTGACATAGTGGATAGTTTCCACAGTTTGCTACCACTACTGTTTTAAACCAAATGACAGTCGTATACTTAAGATGACACTTAGTATTTATGGTTTTAACCTATTAAGGACGGATTTTTTAGCATTGCAATCATGTGAAAATGCTTTTGAGGAAAGAGTAGTGTTATATTATTACTTAAATTAGCAGATATTTTATCGTAATAGTTGTCTCTTAGTTGTTGTTGACGTATGCCTGCTAAGACAGAGGGGTGCCCTGCTAAAGCAGAGGGGTGCGATTGTTCTTGTCTTCCAGTGGCGCCATCTATGGCCGAGAATTCGACATCTGCCACATCCATACGTCACCCCCGTTTATAGGGCCGTTTATAGGGACCCATTCATACATCCATGCATTTATCCACAAATCGTAATTTTGACCTGAATTAAAGAACGATCAATCTCCTATTCAATACCCCCAGAGGTACTGATTTGTTATGGAAACATGGAGGACTTTGCGACTCTACAGTCTTAACGTGCATCAGTCACCATTTTACTACACTTACTTCGGCCGGGGTTCGAACCCACAAACTCGCCCAGCGTCCTACCAACCAGGCTTTCCCGGCCTCTGTCCCTTAGTTATTTTTATTAAATAAAACATAGTTTTAATGTTAATTATGTATTTTTGAAGCCTTATGTTATTAATATATCGCAGCAAACCAGAAAGTTTTATTTTTCCAAAATGAAAAGTAACAATGAAAAAATTTTAACTACCAGTTATTATATCCGAGAGCGTTTTGTAATCAAACGATGCCGTATTGTACCTCCGAGTTGTTACCTTTCGACTATTTTCAGTTGAAATGTAAATAAAAAAAAAATAATCTTTTTCATTGTTTCAGATTCCCTATTTTTGGCTTAGCGCGAAACAATTGAACTAGACAGCGTGTGACGACACATTGACTTCCAAATAGAATGTTTTTACTCTTTTGAAATTATTCTAGAATGCGTCGCCATTTTGGAGTTTTGGACTCGGGGAATATATTTTTAATTTGCGATGTCTGGTGGAGATAATGTCTGATTGCGACTTTTTAGTTGATGGATAGGGTCTCTTCAACTTTTTAAAGATCAGACTCTGATTCAACCTGAGAGTAATGAACGGATTGCGTTGTGTCCTGTAATTGAAATAAATTATTAAAGATTACAGGTAAACCGATGCGGCAAGACAGAATTCATTATCTAGATCAGTAATAAAAAGTAGACTTTTCTAGACACTTTAACGCTGTTTTTCGAAGCTTTGTCGCCAAGGAAAATAAAAAAGCCATAGTTTAAATGCCTTACGCTTGAAGCGATGGGATGATTTTAAACTATATAGATATGATCTTGCAGTGAAAAATTATCTGGAACTTTAGAACAGACAAATTACTTAAATATTTTAAAAGTTATGAAACTTTTAATTAAAAATCTACAATATGGCGACATTTTTCCATGAAAATTATCAAAATCTTTGCCTTATTATCAGTTTTTGCAGATTTCTATGAGCCCAGGTAATGCAGAATTGAAGTAAGTTTTTAAATATTAAAAAATTAGACCGGAAACGCTTCTCTTTTTTGCAAAACTACGGCTTTCATTTCGCCATTTTCAAAATAAGCGTAAACAACGTTTGACTTTAGATAGGCTAAACTTGATCTAACAGTCAGGAGTAACAGTTGTAAACTCACAGCTGTTTTAAAAATAATACACTATTAAAAGAAAATAATAATAATTTCATATTACGACTTATCCTTTGAAAAACAGCCTTAAGATTTTTTTATGTTTGAACCATACGAAACTAACTTATTTCACAATACAATTTTTTTTTTAGGTTCAACATATAATTTTCAATCACTAGTATAGCTTATAACTAATGCTTATATACTTATTAGCTAAATTTTTAATATATCAAAACATATAGATTCTCTGACTGCGTCTTTCTCAGGCTTATAAAATGCGTGAAAAACTACTTACAAATATTTCATACAGTAAGTAACAGGTTTAAGCGAAAGATTGTACATTTGTTATTTTATTTCATGGTATAATTTAATCTTATACTTACCTATCCTCTACGTGCCTTTGGGCACTTAAGGCCTCTAGCATATCCCTCCAACGCCTCCTGTCTGTAGCAATAGATCTTGCTTCCTCTCAGCCAGATATTCTACATTCTCTTAATTCGCCTAAAAACATGCGCTGGATGGTAAGTCTGGGTCTTCCTCTTGTTCTTTTACCATCAGGAGCCCATGTAAGCGCAACAGATGTAATTTTTTCTTTGGGCATTCTAAGGATATGACCGAACCAGCTCCCTCTTCGTTTTTTAATTTTATCTTCTATTGTTTTTATTTTAGCTTTCCTTAATAGATTTTGACTTGAAACTTAGTAAGGCCAGAAAATTTTAAAAATAAATCTTAAATATTTGTTTTGAAAGGTTTCTAATTTTTGTATTTCGATCTTAGTCTGTTTCCAGGTTTCTGCGCCATATAATAGTACTGCTCTAACAATAGCTTTGTAAACAACTATTTTTGTCTTTATTTCAATATTTGACTCTCTCCAAAATTTATGTAATCCCTTAAAACATGTTCTTGCTTTGATTATTCTCTGTCTAATATCTTCGCTACTTCCACCTTTTTTATCTACAATAGAACCTAAATAGCTAAATGATTCTATGTCATCTATTTCGTGATTTTCGATTTTAATTTTGTCATTTTTCTTTTGATTTATTCTCATTACTTTAGTTTTCTTCTTGTTCATGAATAAACCTACACTATTTGAATATTTGTTGAATTTGTCTGTTTTAAG